CTGTTATATCTGTGGGGGGAAAAGTGCCTTGAGAGAAAGCCCAGATTCTCTGGGACACAGTTTATCCTCCAAGAAAATGATGTTCGCTGGGCATGGTGGCACACACCTGTAATCCCAGTACTCGGGAGGCTGAGGCAGGAGGATCGCTGAGAGTTTGAGACCAGCCTGGGCTACATAGTGAGTTCCAGGTCAGTCTCAACTACATAGTGAGACCCTGTCTCAAAAAAACCAAAGAACAAAAATGATGTTCACAAAGAAAAATAACTGAGATGTGTTAGATGTCTTACAGGTACCCACATGTATTTTTAACCCACATTTTAAATATGAAACAAGTAAATAGTAGGAGGACTTTTGTCAGTTTTTATTTTTTACAAGTACTCCTGTGCAGTACATAATGATTACATTTCTGGTGTGGAGTTGGTAGAGGTTCACAGCACATTTCAGTTCCTTTTCGGCTCCTTTCCCTCCCCATCTTCCCCGCCTCCATCTCTTGATCCTCTTCCCATTTGAAAAGGCTCATAATGTGGGTTTCTCATATCAGAAAAGCTACATGATATTTAAGCATGTGCATCTGGTTTATTTCACCTAGCATTATGGACTCGAGCTACGTCCATTTGCCTACAAGTGACCCAAAGTCATCCTTCCTGTGGCAGAGTAGTCCTCCACTGTGTGTAAATACAGCATTTTGGAATCCACTCACCTGTCCATAGACAGATCGGCCTCTGCCAAGATTTAGCTATTTTAAATAGTGCTGCCCTTAAAGACATAAGTGTCGGTAAGGGCTTCCTGAACAGAACTCCAGTGGCACAAGAAACAGAACTTTTTTTTGCTCTCTATGATTTTCTTAGGAACGTCAGTTTATGAAAGCAATGGCTATAATTGCCTGTATACTCACTCGTTCTTCTAAGCAGTGGCTCTTCTACTGTGCTGGATGAGGGAGAAGAGTATTGAAAAATGTAGCATAAAACAGTGGAAAAGACTGTATGCAGTTTTTGTGGTCCTATATTATGAAAATCTATTTACACATATGGCTGGCTTTGCCCACTGATTTCACATGTCACATATCTGGGACAGTAATCAATGCACACTGGATTGGATATTGAATGATATCCTTTGTCATACCATCCAGTGAAAAAATACAGGTTCTTTTCTATTTCATGTATTTAAAAAAGACAACTCTTCTTTTAAAAAGTTTAGCTACATTTTTGCCGAAAGCATATAGTGTATAAAAAAATCTCTTAAACAAATGCAAATTTGCCAAACACGGGATGTTTTAGGGATACATTTAAATTTTGCTTTATTTTACAATAATTTAGACTAGTTTCAATTAGCAGTGCAAGTTCCAAAAATATAAACCAAGGTTTCTCAACTCCAACCCAAAAAATTTCTTTGACATCCTCTGATAGAGTGTTATAAGCACTCTCCCTAGGTCTTGTTTTGTTCTTTATGAGTAACCACATTTTCTCAGCTATGAACTATTTCCTGCAAGTGACTTCCCAGTGCTTATATTTTACCCTCTTTGACAAGCAATTGAGGCCTTGACTAGATTACCTTAAGAAAACAAATGTGGGTAAAGAGATTATCTAGCATTGTATTTTATTGTAGGCCTTAATACGTGGACCTAGTGTTTTAAAAGGATTAACAATCTTGCTATTTACCTTAGACAAAAGCCCTTTGCCATATAACAACCTTGAGAAATGCAGTGCCTAACCCTTGTGTACAGCACGTTTGCATCATACAGCAACCCATGGGTGGAGCATGATCAGATTGGCTTTGTGGAGGAAGTTATGCAATACCATGGAAAGAATTGTCTTAAAACTTTTTAAAAGACATTTTAAAAATTGAAGGTATTTTCTAGGGTATCTGATTATCTGAAACAGATTATTTAAATGTGCAGTTTTTTTTTAAATTGAGTTTAATAGGTATATAGGGAACCAGGGATGATGCATTTGTTATAGGAACTGCCTTGGAGCTCGGCATACCAAACGCAGGTGAGAAAAGGAGAGTATTTCCTTGGCTCGCTAAATTCACTAGTCTGTGTTATTGGGTGATCCGATATCCTTACTTAAGGGATTAGCCACTGCGGTACTGTTTTATCCCAGTGTTCCAAGAATTCCATTGGAGATTAAAAGCAAATCCTTGGAATAAGGATCCAATTTTTTTTTTTTTTAGTCCAAAAATTACTTCTCGGGACACCAGTGCAAAACATCAGAAATGAGTTAATCCCTTAAGAAGGGGACATTTGGTAACTCAATAGCACAAATTAATTGTGAGAATGCTCGGGGAGTCCAAATGCATTATAATTAATTTAATTCTTAAGAAATACATTGAATAATGTAGTTAATCCCCATAAATGTAACCTAGTAGAGGGAGGGTGGGAGTTGGCATTTTTTGCACTTCTTTGATTTCATAAGCCAATAATCAACCTGAAGTTCCAAGAAACAAGTTTTATCCCTGTAGGTCCACAGTCTACACATATCTCTAGGTATAAGATTAGATGATAACATAAACTACATTGCAAAAAGACAAACACTATTTTCATGTACAAATACAGGGAAACGGGTATAGACCAACAGGGAAACGGATATAGACCAATGACACCTGCTATTCAGTAATACGCTCTTCCGCAGTTGGATGACTACATCCTTCTAATCAAGGAAAAGAGTCAAGGCATAGAGAAAAGGGCCTATTTGGTGCACATATTTAGAGCTGAACATGTGTATTGTCTTCCATGGACTTAATGACTCATTTTATTTTTTTCCCCACGAGGTCTAGAGTTACAGAAGCATCATATTTCAAGTTATGAATTCCTCATTACAGAAATGTTTCATGTACTACTGCTTTCAGATTAAGCTGCTCTGCCTATATTAAAAAAAATTAGTCAGCACATCTGCATTTTAGGGCCTACTTGGCATGTTTCAGGGAGAAACGTTTAGCACATGAGATTGGGAGTTGTCAACTATCTTAAACAACTATCCCCGCTATTTAAGCCATGCAGCTTCTGCCAGTGTCCTCAAGCCCTTTTTATTAAAACCATTGGCACACAAAGGCACAGCGAGGTGTTGCTACTCCTTAAAATTAAATACAGACAAAAACAAACAACCATGCATTCATCTGCCTGCTCCACAACCAAGCAGCTGCAGAGGATATGATCAGTTCTTACAAATTTTCTGCCTGACACCCTCGAGCAGCATGCACCACTGTTCCCTGCTCGCCAGTGTCCATGCCCGTCCTAACTGGCTTTCTTCTGGGGCAGCAAAAATGGGATGATAACCAGGAGAAGCAAAGCCCTGCATTCCCATCTTGCCCCACCTCTGTCTGTATAAGCCATGTGCTTAGATTAAGGTCATTGCCCCCCTCTTTGCCCTCCAGTGAGTAGCCTTTGTTCATTGCATCCAAATGTCCTAACAGCCCACTCTGCGCTAAGCTACACCAGTGAGTAAGTTTCAGTCCTGTCCAGTTCCAAAGGAAGTGACCATCAAGTTGGGGGAGCCACAGCGAATCACCAAAGTTAAAACAGCAACAACAACAAAAACACAGAGTCAAAACAAACACAAAAGGCAACTGGAAATGACAACCATAAGCAGGCAGATGACTAAGGGACAGATGAGTGGGTCAGACAAAAAGCTCGCAAGGAGGAAGTGACTTGGAAGTAGGCAGGATTGCAGCAAACAGGGAGGAGAAAGGCTCCATGTGGCCACGTAGCACCCATGTGCGGACAGAAGGCATAGAGTTGACTATTATTACTGCTCTCCACATCTGCTGTAATTGTTTCCTTTTCTGCTTTCCCAAAAGGAAGGGAGAAGATAAAGATAGTGTGGTCCAAGGCGGGAACAGACACAGGACCGAAGGTCTAGCCCAGGGCATCATCGCTGTAGGACAAGGGTCAAGCCTGAGGTCAGTCCCAACCATCAGCACCGTGGCATCTGGGGCCAGGGGGAACGGAAGTGCAGAGAGCACCATTCCCTACTTGGGGGGCAGCAGACTAGCAGAATGACCCCCCAACCCTACCGAGGAGGAAGACGGACAAGACTGACAGCAGAGCAAGGCCCCGTGAGCACCCAGACATGCTGCGGGCTCCTTGTTCTGCTATGTCTTTTAGCCCAACCCATTATTTCCCCTAGGCCCGCGGCTTTTTTATTCTTCCTTAGCACTAATGAAGGAGACTATGGCTCAGGATAGAACAAACATTAAGGCAGCTGATGAAACAACTGCAGAGATGAAAGAAAGGTCCTGGTGTACCTCCCTTTGCCTCCTTTCAGATGTCGGTTAATTTTGCTGATGCATGCCTTCCTTGCTTATCAAATAGCAAATGCATTTCATGCTTCACAATCTCTCTGAGATGTTTTGAAGCTGATTCCAAAAGGTCCTGGAGTTCCTGAGAGATAAGTGTGTGTCCCTCCTACCGGTATGATCAGGCACACCTAAATCCTCAGTCTGCCTATCCCAACTTCCACAGGAAACATACAGCTCACCTCCATCAGCCTCCAGATCCACCATCCTGCACACAGGGGTTCAACAAACAGCTCCAAAATACTCCAAAAAAACTGCATCCATACTGGGCGTGTACAGATTTTTTTCTGCTTGTCATTAGTCCCTAAATAATTCAGTGTACAACTATTTACACCGCAGTTACACAGTATTAGTTGTTACAAGCAATCTATGGGCTATTTCAAGTATATGGAAAGATGTAAATTTTATAAATGCTATACTATTTAACACGAGGCACTTGAGTATCCCCAGATCGCAGTGTCTCCCTTGGATGTCAAAGGATGACTTTACTGCTGAGACATCTGACCTCAGAATACATTTATTAAGTCATAGAGGGGACTCAGAGTAGACACACTAGGCAGGCAGATGGAAATTTCCACAAAAGAACAAATGTAAACCAAGTACACCATTTCTGTGATTTTTGAATCTCTGAAGACAGAGAATTCACTCACATTTCTTCCCACTGTGACCCAGGACTTTGGCAGGAGAAAAAGAGACTTTCAAAAATCATTCTTTAATACTTTCCAAAGACAAACACAAAAAACAATACCTATCAGAGAGGAGATCTTTACAGCTGGGAGGTAAATATTCCGTTTTCTTAGTAAGATAACCAACCAATGATGAACCAAACACAGAGCCTTGAAAAGGGAAGGGGATTCTGACACAGGCTGTATCATGGGTAACCAGGCCTAGGCTAAGTAAAATAAGCCAGGCATGGAAGGAGGAGTGGCGCTGGACCCCATTCCTGTGAGGCGCTCACTCGTGACCCTGCTGGTCACTGTCATGATGGTGAAGGGCAGTGCTGGTCGCCAGGACTTGGGAGAAAGACAGGCGGGAAAGTCATTGTTGCACGGCACAGATTTCCAGCTCTGCAGGACGAGAGCGTTCCATGGGTGCTGTTCACGATGATGTGACTGGAGGCTGGGAGCTGAGCTCAAGGGCGGACTGTACGCTGTGCATGGCTCTGGGCTCCATACACGGCACCAGAACTCTAAGAAACAAGACGGTTAAAGTGACAAATTTATGTGATATATATATTCCATCATGATTGTTAAAAACAGAGTGCAAGACAAAGGTGAAGCAATGGCTGAGATCTTCCTGAAAAACAACAGGGAGAAGGAAAGTGAGCTACGGCCAGATAAAGTAAAAGTGGCTCTCAGTTGCTAGTAGCCCAAAGGAGCTAATTATGCATCACTGAACTTGTCTTACACTGGATGCATCTGAAATGTCCCATTATTTTTTTTTTTAAGTTAAAGGAGAACTCAAAAGACACAGCAAGATCACAATTGTATATTTCTGAAGGCTTATCAGCATATATCTGCCCAGAACTGTGTCACGCATTGCTTTTGAAACAGAAATGAATTTAGGGATGGGGCACAGCTCAGCGGCAGAGCCTAAGGCTCCGGTTTCCATCACCTGCACCACAAAAATAAAAATAAAAAAAGAATGACAACCAAAATTTAGAAGGAAAAGAGGTAACAAAATCACACTTGATTATGCAATGCGCTGTGCATTTCAGACGGGACAAGGTGAACCAGTGTGGTGGTGCACGCCTGTAAATCCCAGCGCTGGGGAGGCTGAAACAGGAGGATCACAGTGAGTTCAAGACCAGCATGAACTTCATTCAGAGACCTTGTCTCAAAAAAAAAAAACCAAAAAACTATAGCCAGGGATTTAGCTCAGTGGTGTTGCCTCCTGCCTTGCAAGCACAAGGTCCTGAGTTCGATCCTCAATATCAAAAAAAAAAGCCAAAAAAATGTAAAAAAAAAAAAAAAAACTAAATAAAAAAGACTAACTAGAGAAAGACAGAAAGGGAGAGTGGGAGGAAGGAAGGGAAGGGAAGGGAAGGGAAGCGAAAGGCAATGTGGCTGGGTCTGTGGGCCCGAATCAAGGGTGCAAACAGAACTCACTGATCTGGGAGCTGTGGCAGAGCCATGAAGCTCCCTGGAATCCCACCAGCCACTGGTCATGCTCCTACCCTCCAGAGTGCTCTGGAGCAGTTACACGCAAGCACGCACAGGCACACACGCACTCACACACACACATTCTTCTGTTGGTTGCCTTCCCCAGGTTAGATTGATGAGGGCTCCCGGGCCAACCCCTGCAGCCTGACCCCTGGCAGCAAGGCCAGGCAGAGAGGCTGGTGGCTTTCTGCCCCAGGCCATCTCTCCTCTCCTCCAAGACCCTGCAAAGCAGGAGAACAGGCTCCATTGTGGCTCTTTGCATCACAATTAGCCCAGGGCAAAGAGCATAAAGAGGTCTTGATGTGTAGATTCGGTGCTTTCCAATCGACATTGCACACTAACATTTTAAATGTACACGCATGCATTGATTGACTGATTGATTGATTGACAGTACTGAACCCAGGGCCTTCATGCTGAGCTCCATGGCCAGCCCTTTCCATACGTGTATGTACGTATTTATTGGTTTTGGGGGTACCGGTTCTCACTTTGTAGCCTAGGCTGGCCTCAAACTCACAAACTCCTCCTGCCTCAGCCCCTATGCTATGATGACAGGAATGAGCCCCGACATCCAGCTTTTACCTGTTATTTTGAGACAGGATCTTGCTAAGTCACTAAGTTCCCAGCTAGGCTCAAACTTTCAATCCTCCTGTCTTGGCCTCCCAGGCATGCTACACACAAGTTATTCTGGGTCTTCTGCCCTAGTGTTTATACACTTCACCAACTCCCACAAAATGACAACGTGTGCCAGCTTAGCTATCTTTAAAAAATCCTACTTTTTTATAATGTTGTATATCAGCCACACTATATCTCTTGATATTTACCTATAACTAAATGCAATGAGTAGAGTGAATTACAACATTATGTAATGAAAGGGAGCAAGATTACATTCTATTTCCTCTGACAATAGAAAATTAGGACTATTTGAGAAAGGTTTTTGGAAGTTCCGCGTAGGATGATAGAAAAATAACCCGGACTGGAAGTTGGCCAGGACCCCTGGCCCCTAATAAACATCCAGAGAAGTCTCAAGATCTCTGTGGTTAAAGTCTTTGTCTCCCCTCTCAACTGTGTCACCCAGCTTGGGCAGGGACAAAAAGACAGAAGAGTGGATTATGTAGAGTTTTCCCCCCAGTACTAACAGGTGTGTGTGCAAGACTTTGGTTTTGCACAAAGCTGGTCCCTAGGAGCTGCTCTGTGACAAGTCCTGATCTGGGATGAGGCTCCAGGAATGGCTTCTCTGTCCACAGGCCCTCGGCAGCCCCAGAATGCTTTGGTGTGTGAGTGGATGGGCAGGTGACCTCCAAGAAACACAAGAGGAAAGAGAATTGGAAAGCAATTCTGACACCCCTGGCGTACAGTCAAAAATCCTAAAATCCTAGGAAAGCTTTCCAAAGAAAAAGAGGAAGTCGGCATATATCTATTATAGATTTCCCCTCCCTCCCTCATGCTCTGGCTATATTTTAACTGTTTCACTGGACTACTGAGCCTGTCTTAAATATCCCCAGGATAAGGACAGGTGGTAATCGCAGCCGCCCCTTTAGACCCAAGGCTGACTGTTCTCAGTCCCTGACTACTTTTCTGTAGCTACAATCCTCAGCCAAGTTTCAATGGACATCGCTCCTTGGCATAGCGAGAAGCTGGTTTGAGGCCCACCTTCCCTCACACATCTGCAGACCTGGAGGGCAGGTGTGACTGGCCGCACTCCCTCCCCTTTCAGGGATGAAACTGTCCCCATTGCAGAAGGAAGGGCTTGTTCATTTTCATAGTCCTTTCCAACTCCAACAGGATTCCGTAAACAAATACAAAATGACATCTCGGAGTTGTTTTAAAAGGGAAATTCAAGTAAAAAATTTAGCCTAAAGAGACAGTGACCAGAACAGCCTGAGCGTCCTTGGGATGAGAAATACGCAAAACTACAGGAAAAGACAGAACAAAAGCCCTTGCCAGCAGAAAGCTAAATTAAGCCTCTCAATTTTTTTCCACCTTCCTTCTGTCCTGAGCACACTTCCCCTGGCTCCCTAAGACCTCTCCTTTCTCCTCCCCTTCTCCTCCCACTTCTCCTCCCCCTTCATCCCCCAAAGAATGCACCCTCCAAACAAGCAGGAAGGAAACATATTGTTCATGGGTCTACATGCCACGTGTCATTTTGCCAGGTTTTCATTTATTAATAAGCTCTCTTATCATTAGACCTCTCTCATTTTAACTTCCCTGCATCCTTCCAACAACGGTGTAATGAGGACACAGTAAAACCGAAGCACATCATAAGACCAAATGACTCCTTTTAAAAAGCTGACCTGAAGTTCTAGTTTACTAACCAAAATGACTGCAGCAGGGCATTTGAGTCCTTTAACCTTTTTATTGCATGTGTCCATGAAAACAATTAAAGCGGGGATTTTTCCCCCCAGTGCATTATCATTTTCTCTTCCCTTCTGGTCTGTTCCATTGCATTTCAAGGGATGTACATTATATTGATACAGAGGCCCTTGTGTTCCATTCTTTGCCCTCCTTCCCGCTTAGCTGTCACCTTTTAAGGTTAGCCAAGTGTGGGCTGTCACTGTACACAGGCAGAACACCAGGCTGGTCTAGCAAACAAGAAGAAAAAAAGGAAAGAAAAGAAAGGAAAAAAAGTGGGGGGCAGTATTTAAAGCTCTCGTAAAATTAAAACTTAGATTTAAATTCTCCCTCATATTTTATTGTCTTTTCTTTTTCCTGTGGTAAATGGTAATTAGAGTCAATAATCTTTTGCTGAGAGAGCACCTTGTCTTCACAGAGTTTATATCATCATCATCAAAGATCTGCCTTAAGGCCCTGGCGTGTTAATAATTTAAGGTGTGCACAGCCTAGTTATAGCAGGAAGCCTAGTTATTGAGTTTGTAAACCAGCCGATGATTTATGGGAACACCTTCATGAGTCATGCTCATTAAATAAAATACTTCGCGTTAATAAGGAACATGGGGCAAACAGTCCTTCCCGTTACAGGGTGACTGTGCAAGTGGAGATTGTTGAGTTTTGTCACCAGGCTCCCAATGCTATTTTGTCTTAATTGTATTGGCAGCGAGAAGGAGGGAAGGAGGGGCGGGTGGCAGTCTGTGAGTGGCTACGCAGGGGGAAACAGGCTCACGCTTTCCTCCCCCTGAGAAGTCCTACTCTAGCAGCCAAATCCTCGGATACAGAGAATGCTAAATCTCGCTCTACTAAAAGGCTACTAATTAAGAAACCAGCGATGTTCGCGGAAATAAAATTACAAGAAAAAATCAATATGTGGTTGTTAAATGTAGCCCGCACTGAAGACCCATAACTATATTTTACTGTTAAACGCTAGGGTTTACTCATTAGGAATTCCTAAGCAGATTCAGACAGCAAAAGCCAAAGAGCATCCTGATCTGTTTAAAAGAAAATGTTGTACATAGGGTACATTTTTTCTAATTTAATTGTCCCATACCTGGGGGCCTTTGCAAAAAAAAAATGCATATATACATTTGCCCTATCTCATTCACTTCGGAGTGGCCCATCATCCTCTGAAAAACACAAGATGATGGCCACTTGCCTTTCTGTTACTCTGAATTAACTGGTGAGAGCATAAAATTGGCGCCAGACGTGATGAACGAGTGAGTTCGTTTTGTTTCACTGACTTCTACGTCAAGTCATCTCTGATATTTGCTTGGCATGATCGTGCCATCACTTCTCAGGTACTTTAGACAAACTTTCCAAAAAAGAGAGAGGGAGGCAACTGAACTTCTAGGTGTTTCTTGTATTTGAAAAATTCCTCCACCTTTATATCCTATTTGTTGGGCTTTGGGGTCATTTCTAGGCCATACCCAAAATGTTTCCCAAGCAGCGTCACTGAAGGAAAATCAGTTGCGTTCACTGGTTTTTATCAGCTTTCTTTAGAAAATAAACATACTCTGAAAGGAAGCTGCCCCTGCTGATGACCGAGGAGATGTACTTTGTGATCTCTCTTTTACCGCAAGGCAGGAGGCAACACCACTGAGCTAAATCTCTGGCTATAGATTTTGGGGTATTTTTTTGAGACAAGGTCTCTGAATGAAGTTCATGCTGGTCTTGAACTCACTGTGATCCTCCTGCTTCAGCCTCCCCAGCACTGGGATTTACAGGCGTGCACCACCACACTGGTTCACCTTGTCCCTTCTGAAATGCACAGCGCATTGCATAATCAAGTGTGATTTTGTTACCTCTTTTCCTTCTAAATTTTGGTTGTCATTCTTTTTTATTTTTATTTCTGTGGTGCAGGTGATGGAACCCGGAGCCTTAGGCTCTGCCGCTGAGCTGTGCCCATCCCTAAATTCATTTCTGTGTCAAAAGCAATGCGTGACACCGTTCTGGGCAGATATATGCTGATAAGCCTTCAGAAATATACAATTGTGATCTTGCTGTGTCTTTTGAGTTCTCCTTTAACTTAAAAAAAAAATAATGGGACATTTCAGATGCATCCAGTGTAAGACAAGTTCACTGTTGCATAATTAGCTCCTATGGGCTACTAGCAACTGAGAGCCACTTTTACTTTATCTGGCTGTAGCTCACTTTCCCTCTCCCTGTTGTTTTTCAGGAAGATCTCAGCCATTGCTTCACCTTTGTCTTGCACTCTGTTTTTAACAATCATGATGGAATACATATATCACATAAATTTGTCACTTTAACCGTCTTGTTTCTTAGAGTTCTGGTGCCGTGTATGGAGCCCAGAGCCATGCACGGCAGAGCGTACAGTCCGCCCTTGAGCTCAGCTCCCAGCCTCCAGTCACATCATCGTGAACAGCACCCATGGAACGCTCTCGTCCTGCAGAGCTGGAAATCTGTGCCGTGCAACAATGACTTTCCCATCTGTAGACAACATGAATCTGAGTCTTTAGCACACATGTGTAAAGTCCTCTGTCTTGGGGCGGGGGTAGAACTCAGCAGTGAGGCCTGGGGCTCCTTCCCCAGCACACACATGTACACACACACACACACACACACACCCCCCACAAACCCACAGCCAGTGGTTCCCAAGGCCCCCCGGTACTGTGGTTTCCAAGGAAACAGACTTCCCTCAAGCTCACACCCAGCTGTGGGCACCTTTTGGGCCCTCGCCTCAGACTGGGTCTGGGGAACTTCTGCAGTGGGCTCTTCCTGAGCCCTCCCCCATCTGATCCTTCAGTTTTAGGTCTCGGTGTGCCCAGTTCCCACCACTCCGTGATCCCATCAGGCTTGATGAGCCTGTGTAGCAAGCTCAGCATTTTTTACTTATAAACAAGAGTAGGCAGAGCAGGGCAAGGTGGTGCAGGCCTGTAATCCCTGCTGTTCTGGAGGCTGAGGCAGGAGGATTGCAGGTTGGAGCCCAGCCCGGGAATTTAGCATTTTAGGGAGAACTTGTCTTACAATAACACATTTTATTTTTTAAAAGGCTGAAGATGTAGCTCGGTATAAAGAAAATGGTTAATCTCAGCTTCAAATTACAGTGCTTTCCTCCTGGGATTCCTACCTGGTTTCCAGCCTCTGTTTGTGGGCACGCCCCTCCGCATTTGTTCCGCAAGATCAGAGAGCCTCTCATGGCCTATCCTGGTTTTAAATAAAATTTTACACTTTGTTTCATGGTATGCAATGCTAGCTTCCCTTTGCAATGAAAAGGGAATTTTGAAATAATGCAAAAAATCATGCTCAACGAACTCTTCCATGCAGGACTTTCCACACAACAACCTCAACCCTAAGGAGGAATGTCGGTGGATTCACAGTTACACTACGTATCGTGAATGACCCAGTTTCCCAAATACACTCCATTTTACCCAGCTACGAAATAGTAAGAATTATTTCCTTACTTATTTCTCTCCCATGATCTATTTTATGCTTTTCTTTGTATAGAAACATTACATAGATGAAGTAATTTCAAGTCAAAGCACTTTTACTCAAAAGGTTTTAAATTCAATGTGGCCTCATGAACATGTTAATAAATAATATTTATGAGACAAATCATATTATAAGCTTCCAGCAGCCCCAAAATAGGTATTTGTATTATTTCCTATATTATATTGATCCACGGTGTTGTATAACTAATTTTTTTTAAGCAATGATTGTATTAACAAGACTCATGCCGTCTTCTCATGTCCTTAGGTTTGATAATGTTTTTTTCCTGTAATGGCACACAGGTTACACATGATTTTCACCAATTTTACTTTGATTTCAGAAATATGTTTGAGACTAAATCATACGGCTGTGAGTCTGTTTAAAAATTCTTTGTAACCAGGCATGTTGATATGCATACACGCTTGTAATCCCAGCATCCTGGGAGGCTGAGACAGGAGGATTGTAAATTTGAGCCCCATCAGGGAACTTAGCAACTTAGCAAGACCTTGTCTCAAAATGTAAAATAATAAATTGTGTGTGCGTTCTGATAAATTGAGTTTAAGGTAAAGTACTAAGACCATTGAGATGCTCGTATGTTCAGAGTCTTAGAATGGTTATTTTGGTTCTTCCAAGAGTGAAAAGTCAGCTTTGACTCTTTAGGTCACTTGCCCTCAGCCTCTGCAGACAGCAGTCCCAAAAAGTGCGGTGCCCCTTAGCCAGGATGCCTGTGAGAGGTCACAAAGCCCACCATCCCCAGCCCCACTGAAGGCAGGGCCCAGGAACAAAGCCAGACTCTGTCTCTGTTGTCACCCATTTCATGAGAAGGTGAATAATGTTTCCCTTCCTGGAAACGATTCCTGATTTTCTGTTCTTGCAATTCCATGGCTAAGGATCCCAACATAAGGGCAAGCATGAGCGTTTTGGAAAGCATTTGTTTCCCAACCACCAGCTGCCTTTTCCAAAGCATTTGACTACAATCTGCTCCTTCTGATGTCAGTGGGAGTTGGCTTTCTTGAAGACAGTGACAAAGACAATTGCAAAGGTAGCTTTGCAAACCTCAACTTTTCTCCCCTTTGCCACAGATAGAATGATAAGCCTGGATCGGCAGCACTTGGGCTTTCACAGAGATTTCCCTGGCTGGATTCCCCTGCCAAATCCATGGAGATCAGTTTAAGAAAACCAGGGTAGCTGCTGGGGTGGTCAGGCCATCACACCTGTTTGATAGCATCTCAGCTCCTCCCTCCAACGACCATAATAAGGGAGTAATTTTTTAAATGCCTCTGCTCCATCTTATTTGCAGTGTCAAAATGTAAGCACATTGGAAAACAGATTGTTTATCCATACCCAAAGATAAACACAGTACTAGCTAGCAAATGCAAAACCTGTCACAGAGTGACGGATCTAATAGTCATCTTCAGGAGAGGGATCTGTTTTATGAAGGGTGTGCCTTCAGTGCCTTCTGACCTCAGCTACTTTTTGCAAGCGGACACTCAGGGACAGGGGACACCAATGTCAAAAAATATCCATCTTCTTCCCCATTTCCTACACTAAATAGCAGCAATTGCCAAGCTCAGGAACTTTTCTGCCAACCCTGAAATTCTTCTCCTTCGAAATAAAAGCATAAAGAATGGAAAGAAAGTCTCTGTACATAGGGAAGGGTGGAGGGGTGAAGGGAGGGCAGGAGAATGGGAAAAAAATAAAAACCAAGATACATCACGTAAAAGTACAAGATCCCAATGATAAGTGTAACTGCACTGTGTACCTAAAATGTACCAATAAAGAAAAAAGAAAAAGAAAAGAATAAAAGCGTAGATAGGCTAGTGGAGAAACAGTGGTCGGCCAGGAGATAAACATCTTTTGAATCCTGCAGGGGGAGGGCCCTCTCCCTCACTCACTTTGTGTGAGGACAGTGACCGCCTCTGGGGCCACTGGCTCAGCCACCCTGAATGTATAGCTGCTTTTTGTGCCCCGGGGCCAGAGCAGATTTCTTTACCGGAGATGCAATCAGCTCCGACCAATCAGTAAGAAGGGTTAATCAGCTGATCGATTGGTCCCTGAGCAGTCGGGACCTGGCTCCTCTCTGACTGGCTCTAGCTTGGCCTTGGGGCAAGAGGTTTGGAACTTTTAATTATCCACAGCAGCCTCCGCTCTGATTGAATGGTCAATGGGTTTACTACTGAGGGGGGCGCTGCTTGAATAATAATAGAAAACAATGTGAACTCTGGCGAGTGCAAACAGAGGCCCAGAAAAGGCACTTGGAGATGTAGGTGCATTGAGAACAGTTAATTGCCTGGCAGAAAGCAAATTTCAAAGGTCTGGAAGATATTTTATCCGAGTGGGTAGGCGCCGGGGGAGACAGCAGTGAGGTGGCCTTTTTCTTTTATTCTCTCTCTCTCTCTTTCTCTCTCACTTTCCTTCCTGGGCCTGTGACCCTCCAGGCTGCCAGGGACAAAGGTAACTTGCTTACCCTGGTGGTGAAAAAATGATCACGGGAGGTAACTTGTATTTTGACACTTGCAGGCACTGTCAGGGTTTAATTATTTTTCATCATGAACTTCCTTGAAAGGAAATAATCGTCCCCCCCAGTTCCTCGATAGAGAGTGTGCTCATTGTGTTTTGAGCGATGGAAAGGGGGAGGAGGGATGAGAGAAGCAAGACTAAATCATGCTCCCAAAATATAACGTTCATACCCAGGGGTTATTAAAATCTTGGCTTAAGCGTATGATATACAGACCTCCCCACTTTACATTCTCCCCACAGAGTAAATCATTAATTCAGTAAGTCCTTCTCATATTCGGGTCTGTCCTTTCTCTGATAAATCAGCTCACTCATGGTGATTCCTTCTTCCCTCGAAGATTAAACCAACAAGTGCCTCAGAATAAAAACGCTATCTGTGCCCAAGTCTTCTGAGAGTATCACGGTGAAAACAAATGCCCCCAAAGGGCAAAATAACCAGCCAGCAACTCTATGAGCTGCCAGGGAGGTTAGCAAAAGCTGCAAGTGATTTCATAGATTTGTTGAAAGGGATGTGGGATTCTGAGAGAGAGAGAGAGAGAGGAGGTCAATCTGGACCCACCAGTCTTAGTCAGCTAGAGCTGTTTCCAGGGTATCAACCAGAATCTTGGTCAAGACCCCCAAATTGCCCAAGATTAGAACTCATCTTATTTCAGCAGATTTCATGTTAAAAATTTGCCTTTCTCCGGTGATCTCATATAAACACGAGCGCTCATCCGGCCCCGCCAGAGTCATTACTATTTATATTACCCTACCCTGGCTGTGTGCAGTCAATTCATAATTGTCCAGTTTTTCTAATTAATCACAAAAGATTTTTGTTTCGCCCGCAGCTAGTTCTGGAGTGACTCACGATGGCAAGCCTAAACTCATACATCAAACACAGGCTCTTTCTCACTCGGCCTTCTGCTCGGGAGCGCTCAGCACTTCGCCACCGAAGAGGCTGCACTGGGCATGCGCAGCCCCAGGCAGAGAAGAAGCCGGAGATCTGTCCTCTTCTGTGCGACTTGTTATTTTTATCTGAAGCTTGCGTTCTCAGGCCAAATCAGAACCAGAGAGCACAGCCGGCTTTCTAAATTCAGAGCCCTGCCGCTCTGGCTTCTTTTTCTCCCCCTCTCCTGTCTTCCTCCTCCTCCTCTACTTTGGTCAGATGATTCAGATCAGCAGCATTTCCAACAGAGGAATCAGCATGCCACCTTTCCTATTCTTCAGTCCTATGATGGTGCCCTTGTGTGGACACAACAACAAAGCATGACTCCAGGAGAAGAAAAACAATAGTTTCTATATTGTGTCCTATAAAATTCACCTGGTGATGGGCAGCAGGGAGTATGCTCAGGGTCAGCTGATCTTGCTAAAAGACACGTGGGCACATTTCAGCAGGTGAGCATTGGGAAAGTGTCTGGCACGAGTGACCTCTGCACTGCTTAGAAGGAGGTCAGGATCAGACAGGACACCCTCAAACACTTTATGCAAATGATCAGAGAGCCACCTGGAAAGGGGGCAGGCTCCCACTGTCCATGTCACCTGCATTGCATGGAATGAATTCCAAGATGTGATTGATCTATTTGGATGATCTTTGCGGGGGGCATTGAGACAGAGTCTCCCTGTGTAACCCAGTCTGGCCTCGAACTCACTCATGGTGAGTCTCCTGCCTCAGCCTCCCGAATGCTGGGATTACCAGCACCTGTCACCACACTTCACTCCTGGAAGATCTTTTCTGATCACTTTCTTTCTGCCTGGGTGTTGGGGCCAGCATGGAATCATCACAGGAGAAAGAGAGCTGCCCAGCAGCTTCATAAGACCTCCAGGACTCCTTCGGGTGCTTTAGAAATGGCAGGTGACTTCTAGCTTTTTATGCAGTCAGGGCCTCTGTGTCCATGACCCCCACATTCATGGATGCAACCAACTGCAGATCAAAACGATTCAAGGAAAAACACATCTTCACTGAACATATTTAACTTTCTTATTTCTTCTCTTCTTTCTAGGGTGTTACAGATTGAGCCCTTGGTGCATGCTAGGCCCGTGCTCTGCCACTGAGATACACCTCGGACTCTGAGCCTTGTCTTTCTTTTCCTCATCCTCTAAACAATATCATTTATAGAAACTATTTGCATAGCATTTATATTAGCTATTACAAGTCATCTAGAGATGATAAAGTACACAGGAGAATGTGCATAGGTGGAACCTGCCCCCATGCGCGTGGAGGGACTAGAGGCTAGAGTGTTCAGTGACGTGGCGGACGTGTGCCACAGTAGAGGTACTCTGCGTGTACCACGTATGCACCGTTCCTGTGTGACACTGTTCACAGGGCCCCAGTGCTCCCACCCACCTGGCCGTCTTCCCAAGCACCACACTCACAGCTCTAGGAACCGTCCCACTGAGCCATCTGCCCTGACCTGTCCCCACTGGAGCGTCTTTTCTGTACTCCCTGCCATCCACATTGCTTGGTTATCCCACGGTAAGGAGGGGGTTCTGCCTGAGCAGGGAGGGATCTCCATGTTTCCTCTCAGCTGGGGCCACAAGAAAACACTGGAACTCAAAGCTTCCCTGTGGGGTGGAGATGTTGTAGTAAATGTGAGGGGTGCTGGTATCCAAACCTAACCTTGGCTTCCTGAGTTATTTACCTTTTTAGGTTTGCCTTAACCTAGCTGTCCCTCCCAGCAACCTTACCCGGCAGACTCCTCTGAGAGTTAAGATGCGCAAGCCGGCCCTACAGTCCTCCACTGACAGGATCGAGGCTGAGGGTTAGTGCATCTTGAATCAGAATTACAAGAAAGATAAAGAATGCTGTAATTTTCTCCTGATTAGGGAAGACCTGGATACCTGAATTTGCACTAGGGCTATTTCAACTTCTGAGGTCCATTTGCATCACAAGGGCCAGGGTTGGGAAGAGGAGCATCAAAGAACAGACAGCTCTTTGTTTGAATGAATTCATCTCTCTTTTCCTTCTCTACAAAAACACTGGAGTAGGGGAATCCCAGATAGTTCTTGGCTCTCTGTAGAGTAAACAGTTTTTAGAAAGAAGGCCTGGATTTTCTTCAACACACTGGCTGCCTAACTGACAAAGACCTGTGAGCACAAGGCCTTTGAATTTCATATGAATTCATGGACTTCTGTCACCCACCCTACCAGTGCTCCTGTGGATGACACGTTTGAACCCAACTCCTCCCCACACACCAGGGGACGGAACCCAGGGCCTTTATATTGAGCTACATCTTCAGCCTTTTTAAAATAAAATGTGTTATTGTAAGACAAGTTCTCCCTAAAATGCTAAATTCCCGGGCTGGGCTCCAACCTGCAATCCTCCTGCCTCAGCCTCCAGAACAGCAGGGATTACAGGCCTGCACCACCTTGCCCTGCTCTGCCTACTCTTGTTTATAAGTAAACAATGCTGAGCTTGCTACACAGGCTCATCAAGCCTGATGGGATCACGGAGTGGTGGGAACTGGGGACACCCAGACCTAAAACTGAAGGATCAGATGGGGGAGGGCTCAGGAAGAGCCCACTGCAGAAGTTCCCCAGACCCAGTCTGAGGCGAGGGCCCAAAAGGTGCCCACAGCTGGGTGTGAGCTTGAGGGAAGTCTGTTTCCTTGGAAACCACAGTACCGGGGGGCCTTGGGAACCACTGGCTGTGGGTTTGTGGGGTGTGTGTGTGTGTGTGTGTGTGTACATGTGTGTGCTGGGGAAGGAGCCCCAGGCCTCACTGCTGAGTTCTACCCCCGCCCCAAGACAGAGGACTTTACACATGTGTGCTAAAGACTCAGATTCATGTTATCTACAGAGCACCAAGTACAGTGTGGAGCAGGGAGAGAGGCAGACAGAGAGAGAGAGAGAGAGAGAGAGAAACAGTGATAGAGAGAACAGGTGGTGGGTGGGGTGGACACTACAAGAAAGGAAGCCAGGTGGTGCCTAGGCAGCCCTGTGAGGCCCAGGGAAGGCAGACTGCAGTCCAGGGGATGAAAGGAAGTGGTTGGGGCATAGAGATATTTAGGAGAATGAGAAAAGGAAGAGAAAATGTGCGGCAGAACTTTCCAGGAGAACCAAGTTTCTTCAGCATTCCAAGCACCCAGCTCTGCTATTATCTGCCATCTCTAACCCCAACAAATCTAAAACGAAGGGTGAGTTAACCCTTTGATGGGACAGCCATGATTGGAGGTCAGCTGGAAGACCGGTGGCGTACAAAAGACGACCATCATTAACCACGGGGAGCTGTGAACTCGCTGGGTGGCTTGCTCTTGCTCTACAGAGCACACTTCTTTTCCTCCCTTGGATGAATGTAAAACCTCATGACTTTTTCTGCGTGTCTGGTACAATTCTTTGTTTAGGACATCAAGAATCTGGAAAGAAGCCCTAAAGAGTCCACATAACCCCAGAACCACTATCAATACCGAAAATACCCAGTATCGATATTAAAACTAGGTACCCCTCCAGCTGGTTTCCTCAAAGAGCAAATTCCCTCAGTACTCCCTCTGTTCAAAACGAAAAAGAAGGTTGGGGTACAGCTCTGCAGTAGAGAGCTTACCTAGCATGTGTGAGGCCCTGGGTTCAAACCCCAGCACCGAAAGAAATGTCATTTGTAACTGAAAAAAAAATTTCAGTGTAAAAAACTCCTGCACTCCCCCCATGCCTTCCTCCATCTAACTGAGCACATATTGAAGCAGTAAAATTCCAAGTTAAATTGGGTGTGGTGGTGCATGGCTGTAATTTCAGTTACTCAGGAGACTGAGATAGATGGAATGGAAGTTAGAGGCCAACCTGAGCAACTTAAGGAAACCCTGTCTCCAAAGTTAAATGGACAGATAGATAGGGCTGAGGATGTAGTTCCCATGGGTGGGAACCTGCCCCAGAAGGAAATCTCACTTGTCCCAAGTGGAAGAAATCCTGAAACCCTAAGCAGCACAGTCCCTGTTCTGGTCTGGTCTGCATACGTGAGCAGACCCAGCTAAAGTGCTCACCATATCCTGGGCTCTGGGTTCTAGTTCTACACCTGACCTGAGAGTAGAGTTCCAGGGCCAGGGGTGTAGTTCAGTGGTAGAGCACTAGTCTGGCATGTCTGAGGCCTTGAGCTCAACCCCTAGTAAAACCAAAAGGAAGAGAAGGGAAGGGGAGGGAAGGGGAGGGAAGGGGGGAGATGAGAAATTAGACTCCAACTCAAATAAATAAAAATACAGACCCATCATCTCAGCAAAAACCTCACCTGTCCTGCAACTCCTGAAGAGTGGCAGATGAGCCTGGACACAGCAGGAACCTTAAAGTTCAAGCCACTTCTCTTCAGACCCATGGTACTCATCCTCTGGCTGAGGCACGTGGCAGCGCAGGCCCCGACCCAGGGTCCTAGGGTGAGTGACCCGAGTGAGTGGCTGCCTGAACTGTGAACGGGTTTTTCCCAGGCAGCAAAGCAGCTGAGGTGAAATTTCCGCTGATCCGTAAGCATTAAACGCAATCGGGATAGCGGCAACGATGCCTGCCTGTCACAGAACACTGTACACCCAGAGCTCACCCGCCCTCTGGGACTGGGAGGGCGTCATCGTCATCGAGGCAGCAGGGAAGGTGGATCAAAGTGACTCTGTCACCCCTGCATTTGGGACCTGCAAGACCAAAGCTGCAGTCTTCAAATGCCTCGCATTTTTTCCGCCTCCTATAATTAACCCTGCATGCTTCTGTGTAGCTAGGGGTTCTGGAGAAGAAGGTTGTAACTAACAGGCAACTGTTAGAGGGCAGAGATTGCTAGCCAAGGTGGGCTGCAGCCTATCTGCTTCCGCTAATCTTCTTCCTAAGCGGTGTGTTCTTCGCCATCGGTGGAAGCCACGCCAAACCCGTTTGTAAAGATGTCTGCAGTGCCAGCAGTTTTAATGCAGCTTGGTTCAGCTGATGTTAGGCTCAAGTAAAATGTCTTAAATGATT